AGGAAGAATGAAAATCTGAGGGGTCAAGTTATGAAGGGCTTTGAATGATTGAAGTTTTGTATTTGATACCAGAAGTGATAAGGAGGCACTGCAGTTTATTGAGTGGGGGTATAATGTGGTCAGATCTGTACTTTTAGGCAGATCATTTTGTCAGCTGACTGGAGGATGGATGAGAGTGAAGAGAAACTTGTGGCAGGGAGACCAACCAGCAGGTTATTGCAATAGTCAAGGTGTGAGGCAATGAGGGCATGCACCACAGTGGTGATTTCATCAGGAGAGAGAAAGGGATATACATGAGAGATGTGAGGAAGGTAAAATTAACTGGCCTTGGCAACAGATCGATATGAGCAGTGAGAGAGGATGAGGAATTGAGGTTGACACTGGGTTGTGTTTTTCTCTCTCTGCACCTTTTGTCTGTCATATATGTCAGGAGTAGGTAGTATATTTCACTATTTCCTTCGGAGATATGGCTGGTCATTGAATTGGTCAGAATTCTTATGTCTTTCGATGCTGTTTTTCTTCACAATGTTTCTGTACTTGCATAATTTATGCCCTGTTTTTGCTCACTCCATTTTGTTTTAGTTCACGTTGTTGTTGAAAACCATTCCTACACACAAACACATACACATACACTCACATACATATATCCACATAACCAGTCTTCTTACCCTTTATGTGTCATATCCCACTTGATTCCAATACAGTGACTTTGGCTTTCTTGCTGTTCCTCAAATAAGACCCTACACCTCCCAATTCTGGGCATTTTCCCTGATTCCCATGAGTGGCATGCTCCTCCTCCTCATCTGTGCCTTCTGTGCTGCCTTTCCTGGCTTCCTAGCTACCTAAAATCCTGTCTTCTACAGGAAGCTGTCCTAATCCTTCTTAATTTTAGTGCCTTCCTTCCACTGATTATTTCCTATGGCTTTTGTCTGTAGCTTATCAGTACACAATTATTTACCTGTTGTCTTCTCCATTAGATTGTGAGCTCCTTGTCATCAGGAACCATCTTTTCCCCTTTTTTGTAACCCAGAACTCAGCATAATGCCTGATCTATAGCAAGCATTTCATAAAATTTTATTAACTGAAACAGGAATAATGTGTTTAGGTGTAAAGTATGTGAAGATGATACATGTATTCCTTCAGAATTCTCTCATCATCATAGAAGGCTTTTAATTAGACAGAGGGCATGGAAGTGATTCTGTTATATTTTGAGGATCTTGAAAGAATAGAAAAGTAAGAATACATTGGGAGAGGGGAAAAGAAGAAGAAGAAGGAAAATTATCTCACATAACCATGGTTTGAAAGTAGAAGTCTATTCAGCAAGGAGGATGGGGGTAGGAGGCAACATTTGAACCTCACTCTCAGCTATACTGGTCAAAGAAGGGAAGAATCTCCTTACATATGCATAGTTGGGCATAGAAACACATTGTGCCCAACAGGGAAACAAGAGGGGGAAAGGTCATAGGAAAAGGAAGAATAAGAGGCTGGGTAAATTAAGGGAGAAATTATTCAGAAGCAAAATAAATTCTTAAAGATGAGGCAGAAAATAAAGAGAAAGAAAAATATAAGAGAATAGGATGGAGGGAAGTCTGCAATTAACAATCATAACTATGAATGTGAATGGCATGAACTCATCCATAAAACAGAAGAGGACAGCAGAATGGATTGGAAACCAAAAATCTAAAAATATAGTGTTTACAAGAAATAGACTTGAAATAGAAAGATACACAGAGAGTTAAAATTAAGGGTATATAATAGATATAATAGATGTTTCATCTGAAGTAAAATAAAAGGCAAGGGTAGCAAACATCATCCCTGAAGTAACAGTAAATATAAAATAATTCAAAAGAGATAAACAGGAAACTATATTTTGCTAAAAGTGTCATACACAATGAGTTAATACCAATACCAAATATATCTACATGAAATAGCATAACGTCTGAATTCTTAAAGAAAAAGTTAAATAAGTTACGAGGAAAAATAGACAGAAAACAAAAAAAAAATTTAGTAAGTAAAAAAAAATTAGTAAATCTTAATTTACCCTCCAAGAGCTAGATAAATCTAAACTACTTCCCCAAATACATAAATTTTAAAGTTTGTCCACAAATAAAACCAGTGTTGGATTGGAGGAGAAAAAAATTGGTCAGAATCTTTGTAGTAAGTTTCTCTGACAAAGGTTTCATTTCTAAGATCTATAGGGAACTATTTCAAACTTAAAAGAAAAAAAGGCCATTCCTCAGTTGATAAATGGTCAAAGAATACAAATACGCGGTTTTTAGGGGGAAAATCCAAGCTATTGCTAGACATATGAAAAACTACTCTAAATGATTAATAATTAGAGAAATTAAAATTATAATGTGTACCACCTCACACCCATCAGATTAGAAATGTTGACCAAAAAAGAAAATCACAGATATTGGAGAGACTGTGGAAAAAGTAGCTACATTAATGCTCTGTAGATAGAGTTGTAAGCTGGTCTGGAAACTTTGAAAAGCAATTTGGAACTATGTCCAAAAAGTCATTAAGTGGTATATTCTTTTGGATTCAACAATACTGTCACTAGTTCCATGCTCCAAAAAGATTAAAGAAAGAGAAAAAAGAATCCCATCAACAAAAATATTTATAGTAGTCCTTTTTTGTGGTGGCAAAGAATTGGAAACTGAGGAAGTACACACAAATTGGAGAAGAGCTGAAGAAGTTATGACATGTGAATGTGATGGAATACTACTTCACTGTAAAAACTGATCAAAGAAATAGTTTCAAAAAAATCTGAGAAGACTTATCTGAACTAATGTGAAGTTAACTGAGCAAGGCCATGAGAACAATTTATATAATAACAACATTGTAAAGGCAAACAATTTTTAAAGAAGTAGAAACTCTGATCAATATAATGACCAACTACAATTCCAGAGAACTCATAATGAAAAAATTACACCCACCTCCAGATAGAAAGGTGATGGGTTCACAGTGTAGACTGAAGCATCTAAGTATGCGTCTATATACGTGGGAGGGGTGGTGTAAGAATTATTTTGTTTTCTATTTTAGATTTGCTGATTTCTAATTTTTTACCTACATAATCAATTCATTAATGCTCTTTTTTGGGGGGGGGCGTTAGGCAATAGGGTTAAGTGACTTGCCCAGGGTCACACAGCTGATAAATGTTATGTGCCTGAGGCCAGATTTGAACTCAGGTCCTCCTGAATCCAGGGCCGGTGCTCTATCCACCCCTAGCTGCCCCTCTTTTTTTTTTTTTATAAAAAAAATCCTTTGGATTATAATTTTTCCCCTGAGTATTGCTTTAGGTATATCCCCAAATTTTTTTTACATATTTTCTCATTCTTATTATTATCTTTTATGTACTTATTGTTTCAGTAATTTTTAATGGACTCATACTCAGAATGTTATTTTAAATCTCCATTTAGGTCCTGATCTGTAGCTTATGCTCCCTGTATTTATTGCTATTTTATCACATTATCTATATAAAAGCAGTGTTCAGTATTTCTGTTTTCTTATACCTATTTACTATTTATTTACTGGGACATGATCTGTTTTTATAAAGGCAACAGATAATACTAAATCTTTTTAATGTCATAAGTTTTTCAGCTCTAAATTCTCCAATGGTTTTTTGAGCTCTATATGTTTCCCTGTTGTTTATCTTTGTTTGATTTGTCTGAGAAAGAAGTATGACAGTCTCATCTAAGATAATTTTGGGAATTCAGTTAACTTTCCATTTACGTATTTTAGATACTATGCCATTTAAGGCATATATGTTTAGTAGTGATACTAACTCATTGTCTATGGTTCCTTTAAACAGAATATAGTTTCATCACTCATCTCTGTTGATACTGTGAATTCTATTTTTGCCAGGCACCACAGTTTAGGGAAATTGATAAAACTAGAGAATGCCCAGAGAAGACCAGCAGAATGCAGAAGTATCCACATCATATGAGGATCCAGGGGGGACTGCTGTCTTCAAATATTCAAAGGGATATCATTTGGATGAGGGAATATACTTATTCTCTTTAGTCTCACAGAACAAAAAAAGGAGCAATAGATGCAAGATACAAAGAAGCAAGTTAAGCCATGGTATCAGGAAAAATGTCCTAAAAATTTGAGCTGAGGGTGGATTCACCTGACTCAAGGATTAATGGATTTCCCCTCATTGTAAGTTCATTGGGCAAAAACCAGATGACCACATCGGGTATTTATAGAGAAAATTCCTCTTTACATAAGGACTAGACTACAGAAATGTGGCAGTTACATGAAACAAGAAAGAGTTAAGATATAGTTTCATTTTGTGGTAGCAGTGGTCATGTATAAGTGCTTCTACTGATACTAAGCTGACTCAGGTCTGTCTGACCTTGACAAGATAAAACCATACTGAAACTGCTTCCCAGATTCAGTTAGTTCTCTGTCAGCCGAGTGCTAGATTTCATGTCATATAAATGTCTTTCAAGAGCCAGATGTCTCTTTTGTTGTATTTTTGTTGTTTTTAATTTTGTGATTTTTGAGAATAGCTATTACTCCAAGAAAACACACAGAAGTTGTAGTTCACAAAGAGCACACTCCACTTACCATTAGAGTTATTGCAGTAGCTATTGGTGTGGAGAAGGCAAACATTTCAAGCCAACAATCAATCAGGATTAGTCACACCAAGGAAAAGGGAAGTCAAAAATGCAAAACAACACTAAGACAAATTATTGATGCAAGGGAAGATGACATTTGCAACTCTTGAGAACTGTTTTGTTATTACACCATGCTAAAGGAGTGTATAATACATAAAGGGGGTGGATATTAGTTGATTCTGATGTAATGATAAAAATATATATATAATCAAGTGGGTTAAATGGATCCAAGTAAGTGGATTAGTCTGATCTTAGAAAATGTACTGAGAAAGGAGGAGGCAGACAAGGGTAAATTACATTACAGGAAAAGACAGAAAATCCTATTAAAGCAGAGGGAAAGAAGGGAAGGAGGTGAGCATTGTTGGAACCTTGCTTTCATCAGATTTGGCTCAAGAAGGGAATAACATAATCAGTCAGGTATGGAAATCTAACTTGCCCCATGGGCAGCAGGAGGGAAAAGGGGAAAGAAAAGGGAGAGGGAATGGAAGGGAGGGAAGAAGCAGTGGGGGCAAAGGGGAAGAGGGGGGAGAGGGAAAATAGAAGGGAGGAGAGACTGAAGGAGGTGAGGGGGGGAAGGGAGAGAGGAGAAAGAAAAGCATAAATCGGGGGGAAAGGATGGAGAAAAAGACACATAGTAATCATAACTGTGAAAGTTGAATTGCTATTTTTTTTTCTCTTCTGTTGAGTTTTGTTTCCTCTTTCTGATGATTCCTCCTATTCATTTAATTTTTACTTACAACCTCACTAATGTGAAAATATGTTTAATAGGAATGTAAATGTATAGCCTATATTAGATTGTGCACAGTTTTGGGGAGGAAGGGGGAGAAAAATTTTAAACTCAAAAGCATATGGAAGTGATTGTTGATAAATCAAAATAAATTAATAAAATATGCAAAAAAAAGTTGGAAGAATACCAAAAGACTAGGGGGGGAAAAGAACAGCTATAAGCCTTTGCTTTGACGAGGAAAAACTTATGATACTTCTCATGTGCAATAAAATATGAAGACTAAGGTACTAAAAATATGAAAAGACTATATTTTTCTCACTGAAGAAACTCTTTTTTTTTTTTGAGGATATACCACAAGTGTTGAGAAGAATCCAAGTAAGCCTGTAAGATTGGGTTATCTTTATCAGACTGTAAAACATCATTTTGGTGGATCTTTTAAAAATTCCACTGAGCCTGAAGTTTTGTTCCCACTAACATAATGGTGGACTCTGAAATATGTATTGATAGAGTGAGAAGCAGAATTGCTCTGGAATTACAGAAATTTCCAATTAGAAATAGAATACTGCAACATGGTCCATGTCACACAACATTAAGAAATTTATCCAAGAAAAAGAAATCAAATGCTTCAAAGGTCTAAGACCTTCCCTAATTTAAACCCCATTAAAAACCCTAACTTTTAAAAATGAGTTATCCACCAAAGATTTGTCTAATCCAGTGCGGTTTGGTTTCATGATGAAAAATTAAAGAATATATGTCAAAATTTTGTGAACTTAATGCCATAAAATAAGTGACTATAGCAAAAAAGAGAAAATGTTGCACATTAAATTTTTTAAAGATATAACAAGCCATAAAGGTTTATTGTATAGCTCAAGAAATTTAATTATTTTACTTTGAACTAAATAATTTGCAGATACCTATAGATCAGGCTTGCACAACCTGCAGCACACCAAAGGATTTTCTCTATATTTTTCACAGGCTACCGAAATCCTTTGGCATGCTACAAGCTGTCAGAGGGCCATAAGCGGCCCATGGGCTGCAGGTTGTACAGGCCAGCTATAGATTATTGCTGAGTTCCCTTTCAACTTAAAATGTTGTGATTTTGTGATCTGTGATTCTATGATTTCTTTCAAGACAGGAGTCAGCAAGTATCTCTTGAGTATAAAAATTATAATGAACCTCAAGTGGCCTTATATTTCATCCTTTTCCTTTTAAAGAAAAGAAAAAATTGAGGACCACAGAGGTTAAGCATCTTGCCCAAGTCACTTAAATGGCAGAAGAATCAGGTCTAGAACCCGGGTCTCTTGACTCTTAGAGTGGAGTCCCTTCCATTCTGTATCATTGCCTGTAGGTCAGGACTCCTCTGTGTACAGGGAAAAAATAAATTATCCACTGCCCTTCCATGACACTGTGCTGTTTGAATCCATAGTTTATCAGACTAGACAGTCCAAACCTTTAAGGGGACAATCAGATGGCAAGATCCTTGAAGGCAGTAATTGTCTTTTACATCTTTTTGTATCCCCAACACCAAGCACAGTGACAGGCACACAGGAAATGTTTAAAAAATGTTTATTGAATTGACATAACAGTTGGAATTTTGAGTTGCAAACATCTTTTTAGTGTTTAAAGATGAATAAATTGATCAATCAACAAACATCTATTAAAGCTTTACCATGTGACAGGCACCAAGCTAGTCTTTGGGCATTACAAGTACAAAGAACGAAATAATTTCTACTCTCGAGAGCACTGCATGTTCTCTGGGGAGACAAAGTACACAGGCATAGAGACAGAATAAAAGCAAACTGTTAAAAAAGAAAATCAAGGTAATTTAGGAGACAAGGCACTAATATATGAGGGATCGGGAAAGGTGTCATAATGAAGGTGGGTACTTGACATGAATCCTTAGGAAAAGAGGGATTTTATTAGTGGATGTGAAGAGGACACGCATTGCAAGAATGGGAGACAGACAATGTAAAGGAGAGTCTAGAAATGAAGTGTCATGGGGAAAGAACACACAGGCTAACATCTTAGCAGGCTCAGGAAGCCCAGGAAATAGCATAACATATGGTGAGGCTGGAAAGAGAGGTTGGGGCCAGGTTGTGAAGGGCTTTTTGAAGAGTCATAATCCTTATGATGAAAAATGCTATCATCCAGAGAAAGAACTGATGGAGTCTGAATGAAGATCAAAGTATACAGTTTTTTTTTTAAAAAAAGCATACAGTTTTTACTTTCCTTATTTTTTTTCATGTTTTCCCCTCTCTGGGTCTGTTTCTTCTTTCACATCATGACTAATATGAAAATATGTCTTACACAATTGCACCTATATAATCTATATCAAATTGCTTGCTGCCTGAGGGAGGAGGGAGTAAGGGAGAGAGGGAGAAAATTTGGAACTCAAAAAAAAATTTTTTTAATGGATGTTACAAGTGAGGAATAGTCCTCACTTGTAACTGGAAAAAATAAAATATTATTTTTAAAAAGTCATGATATAGAAGATTTCTTTTAGGTCAAGTATTCCTAGGAAATTGAAGAAAATAGATAATATCTTAGAGGGATTTGAAGAATTTCTGAAAGTTGGAAAAGTTGAAAAGTTTTGGGAATCTCCACTCAGTTTAACCTCTGGCTTTTATCTCTTCCTCAGGTTTGGTCAGCACACAAGCTTGTGAGTTACCCTTTTCTTTGTTCTCTGGGGTCTCTGGGTAATACAGTCTCCTTCAGCACCACAGGATGCTCACAGAAGCCTGTCTGAGGTGGCCCTGCCTGCCCTGCACCTCTTGGCTGAGGTCTGAGGTGCCACAACTCTCTTCCCTGACTGATCCCATGGGTCAGGCTCAGGCTGCTCTGAGTCCCAAGATGGTTTTTGCTCAGGATTCTTCTGCCCACCAGATGTGAACACTGATAATTATTTGCTATTTTGAGGATTTGGGGGTTGACCCTGGGGCATCCGATGCACAAAGGACCATCCTTTGAATCACAAGCTCTCACATTTTAGAGCTGGAAAAAAACCTTGCAGATGATCTAATTTAACCTCATTTTATAGAAAAGGGAACTGAGGCCCAATTAGGTGAAATAGTGTGTCCAGAATCACACAGTTTTAAACCAAAATTCAAACTTAGGTCCTCTGACAATGGTGCAATGGAAAGAGTATGGATCAAGAGACTTGGGCTCAAGTCTAGGCTCTGATACTACCTACCAGTGTGACCTTAGACCTGTCACTTCATTTCTGAGCCAAATTTTCTCATCTGTAAAATGGTGATAATAACAATTATACTGCCTCTTTCACATAGGTGAGGATAAAATGTGCTAATATGTACAGATAGCATCGCAAACACTCAAGTGGAAATAAACTACGTCTTGAGTGTCTAATTTGATTGGATGTCAGTTTCCAAGGAGGCTTCAGAACCAACCCAGTCTCCTGGGGACCTGGCCTGCCATTTAAGCAACACAAGTCCTGATCTCCTGGGTTCATTTTAGGGCTTTTGATTTCTCTCCCCCCCCCAACCAATCTTTATTCAATATCTAACCTCTCCTGTCAGTTTGGACTGGAATCAGATGGAGGCTCAGCATTTTAGGAAGCCAAAATGCTAGTCTCTGTTTTTTATTAGATTTCAAGTTGGTAAGTGGATTGTGTATGTGTTGGGAGCCAGAGACAGGGGACCTAAATCTGGAAGCCTAAGCTTCAGGGTTTCACCCCTGGGTAATGTGGGGGCAGGACTCCCCTGCTTCTCTCCTACCTCTCCCCTACTCCAGGAATTGTGTACAGACACCTTCATCTTATGCTGTTCTTTCTCTCCCACCAGCCATTGCAAAGAAAGCCGTAGTGCATCTGAGCCCTCCATGGACCACTATCTTCAAAGGGGAGAAAGTGACTCTGACTTGCCATGGATTCAACTCCTCCAAACCAAGGACCACACGGTGGTATCAAAACCAACAATTGCAAGAAAGTTGGTCTACAATCAGCATTGAGACTAATCAAGATGGAGAATACAGATGCCAGACCCAGGACTCAGCCCTCAGTGACCCTGTGAACCTGGTAGTTTCTTCTGGTGAGGACAGAGAGCCTCATCAAGCCTCAGGGCAGAGTTTCTAAATGTAGTCTCCCACAGGGAGGGAGGGACAAGAGGAGAGGCACTGGGAGCTCTAGAATGCCACATGATATCACTGGGGCAGCAGCAGAGCTGGGGGTAACAACCTTCACTAATCTCCAATAAGTCATTCAGAAAGCAGTTGGGTACCCTGAGATCCCCTGGCAGCTAGGAGCTAACCCTGCCCACTGAGAGTAGTACAGTAAAGGATGGGACTCCCTTCCCCAAGCAGATATGTTGGGATTTATCTGAGAGGCCATCATCTAGGAAAGCTCCTTGTTCCAGGGAGAGGAGACATCTGGGTCAAGTGGGAAGCATATGGGGAACCTGGTTACCCCATCACACACCAGATATTCTCCAGGTGCATGTCCCTTTAGAGACAATTGGAAGGAGGACAGGGCACAAAGCCGGGAGTTGAGTCTCCAAGGTCTTCTGGGTTCTCTTACAGATCCACTGATCCTGCAGACTCCATATTCTGTATTTGAAGGAGATACATTGGTCCTGAGATGCCAAGAACAGCATAAGACAATGAAAAACATGGCATACTATAAAGATGAAAAGAAATTGTATTATTTCCTTGAAAACTCTGATCTCTCCATCTCCATCCCACAAGTTGGCTTAAATTACACTGGCAACTATCACTGCACAGTTTTTAAGGTTTTCATATTTTCTTGGGAAAAAAAGTCAAGAAAAGTAGAGCTCCGAGTCCAAGGTATGAGCTTGAATTCTGGGGCAGCAGAAAGAAGAAGGGGAAGGGCTATTCAAGGCCAGGGTCTATGCGTGGAGGGCTGGATAGGCACATAACAGGAGGGAGAGCTCATGGCTGGAGCATAGAAGGTAAATGAGATGGATTCATCTGTGTGTCCCTTCATCTGTTCAGCTGAGAACACAAGACATGTCACCCCAGGAGCTCTGACATTAACTGTCCTGGGCACTGTGTTTGCCTCCTCTCTCTAGAACTGTTTCCACCTCCAAAGCTGAAAACCACAACCTCCCAGCCCACCGAGGGGACCCCAGTGACCCTGAGCTGTGAGACCCAGCTCCCTCCACAGAGGTCAGACACCCAGCTGCAATTCTCCTTCTTCAGAGATGACAGAGTCATCGTATCAGACTGGAAGGAGTCTCAGGTGCTCCAGATCCCAGCCATCTGGAGGGAAGACTCAGGGTCATACTGGTGTGAGGCAAAAGCTGTGACTCAGAATATTCAGAAACAGAGCAACCATGTGAAGATTAGTGTGAAAAGTGAGTGTCAGTGATGCAGGGCTGGGAGTGAGAGGTGGAGGGAACGGTGCTGGCATGAATTTAGATGTTGGGATACTTTGTAATGTGATGTTCTTCTTCCTCTGGGAATGGGAGTGGTTTTGGAGACAGCCAACTAGCTTTCTTGTGGGTCTTCTCTTGCATTAAGACAGCAATAGAGTTATAAGTAAATAACTTGCTGGGGGCAAGCAACAGAAATTTGTCCTAAGCAAGCAGTGTGAATTCCATCCTGAGCATGCACCTTAAAATCAATTTTAACGTTATATTTTTAAATTTTGAGTTCCAAATTTTCTCCCTCCTTCTAGCCCCTTCTACCCATTGAGAAGGCATTATATGATATCATTTATAAACATGAAATCATGGAAGATATGTTTCCATGTGAGCCATGTTGCAGGGGGGAAAAGCAAGAAAAATAAAAGAGTGAAAATAGGTGCTTCAACTTGCACTCAGATTTCATCTGTTCTCTCTTTGGAGGTGGATAGCAGTTTTCATCATATATCCTTTGCAATTGTGTGGATTACTGTATTGATCAGAGTAGCTCACTCTTTCACAGATGATCATCATTACAATATTGCTGTACTTTATACAATGTTCTCCTGGTTCTGCTCACTGCCATTTGTATCAGTTCATACATCTTTCCAGGTTTTTCTGAACCCATCCCTCTTGTCATTTCTTACAGCACAATAGTATTCCATCATAACCACATAGCATGACCTGTTTAGCCATTCCCCAAGTGACAAGCATCCCCTGAATTTCCAATTCTTAGCCACCACAAAAAGAGCTACTATAACATTTTTGATATATGGGTCCTTTCCCTTTTTCTTTTATATCTTTGGGATACAGACCTAGTAGTGATATTGCTGGGTAAAAGGGTATGCACAGTTTTATAACCCTTTGAGCATAGTTCCAAATTGTTCTCCAGAATGGTTAGACCAGTTCACAACTGTACCAACAGTACATTAGGGTCCTTATTTTTCCACATCCCCTCTAGCACATTATTTTCCTTTTCTGTCATGCTAGCCAATATGATAGGTGTTGGGTAGTTTTTGAAATTTGAATTTCCCTAATTCTTAGTAATTTAGAGCATTTTTATGTGATTGTTGATCATTTTTTCCCCTCTGAAAACTGTCTATGCATATCCTTTGATCATTAATCAGTTGAGGAATGTATTTCATTTTTTATAAATTTGCTCAGCCCCCCTCAAATCAATTTTTAAAATTTGCAATGCAATGACATTACAAAAAATAAATGAGATAAACTCATTAAAGGATGGAGGTTAAGGAGGATTCATTAATACAGTGACTGCTATGCTCTGAAGAAATACAAGATTATGTTTCAAGCTATCTAAAGCCCCCTTACCCCGGCCAAGTTATAGCTGTGGTCATCAAGACTAAATGAACAAAAGAGTCCCAAAATCTCAGGATTAGTCAATAATATTTTTGCAGGCCTTACCATTGTTCTTCATGCCAATCCAGCCACTTCCAAAAAAGTATTTATTGAGTATTTGCTTCATGCCCAATACCATTCTCAGTGGGGCAGAACGGTAAGATACCAAGAAGCTTCAGGCATGGCTTCTGAATGCAAGAAGCTGACAATGGCATTAGGAGACACAAGACATTCCCAAGAAACAATCAGAGAACGGATTAATGGTGAACGTGCTCAACATCTAACTCTAGAAGAGGAGGTGATAGAAGAGAGACAGTTGTGGGCTGGAGGAGTAAAAGGTTTTCATCTGGGCCTTAAAGGCAAATGTGGTCAGAGTAACTTAAACAATGCCACTTTAGGATAGAGCTGACACTTCTCAGTAGCCTCTCTATGCTATCTGACAAAAAGGTCTACCCGGTGAGGCATCACTCAACTGTCTCAATTTCCCTCTAGGTCCTGCCTTGGAATTGCCCAAAGCCAAAGTTGTGGTCCAGAAGCTTATGGGTGGGGAATCAATGCTGTCTTATAAACAAAGTAGATGCCCCTCAATTAAGGGGACAGTTAAATAACCAATGAGTAAATCAACAAGTACATATTAAATACTTACTATGTGCCAGGCACTGATAACACATGAAAAAATGCTCTGCATTTTTATATAGAAATTAAGGAGGGGTAGGTACCCCTCCCCACTAATACATTCAGGATTATTCTCCATGTCCAGTCTTTATATACCAATGACCCATTTCCTCCTTCCTTACTATATGTTTTCCTAAGTTCCCATTGTACAGACACGTACAAGTTGGGTGCAGCTTTCTCTGCCACCTTTGACATCCCCCAAAGTCAGGGAGGGCCCTCATATATCACTTTGTGTTCACCCAGGAATCCCCATCTCTGGCATCCTCATGGAGACCCAGCCCTCTGGGGGGCAGGTGACTGAAGGAGAGAAGCTGGTCCTCATCTGCTCAGTAGCTCAGGGCACAGGGAACATCACATTCTCCTGGCACAGAGAGGACATTAAGGCAAGTCTGGGAGAGAAGACTCAGAGTTCTCTGAAGGAGAAGTTTGTGCTCTCTGCTGTGAATGAGACTGATTCAGGGAAGTATTACTGTACCGCTAACAATGGCATCAACACCACCAGCAGCCTGAGGGTGAATGTCACCGTGAAAAGTGAGTCCTACCCCAATTCATCTCAGCCTCTGTTCACCTGAGGGGGCCTCTACAGAGTCATGAGGAAGCTTTTTCATAGTATTTTATTGATACTTCTATTGTTGCTGTTGTTTTTATGCCTCTGTCATTTCCCATTGATTCTCTCCACAACCACTGCCTCTGTTCATGGAACAGTGCTTTGTACAAAAACTTATGGTCAAGAAAAACAAATCAATGCATAAGCTATTTCTGAAAACAGATGTCTGATTCTGCACCTCTAGCCCACCACCTCACTGTCTGCTTAACCATCAGTCTTTTGAGGTCATAATAGGTCCCTGCATTAATCAGAGCTCTGAAATCTTTCAGTATTGTTCTCCTTTACATTTGTGATCATTTATGTACATTTTTCTCTTTGCTCTGCTTTGCTCTCCATCAACCCATTTCTTCCCAAGTTTCCCTGAATTCTCCATCTTTGTCATTTCTCATAACCTAATAACATTCCATTCTATTCATATGCCATTTTATATTTATTCTGCATGTGTGTGTATATGTGTGAGTAGTGACTGTTTAATTGTTTGTGTTATCAGTGCCTGGCACATAGTAGGTATTTAATATGTACTTGTGGATTGATTCATTGGTTATTTAACTATCCCCTTAATTGAGGGGCATCTACTTTGTTTATAAGAGAAAAAAAGTGCTACTATAATTATTAGTGTACAAATGAGACCTTGGACCTTCTTAGGGTATATGCCTAGTAATGAGTTAAGAAGCATGAATAGTTTAGTGACTTTTTTGGCATAACTCCAGATTGTTTTCCAGAATAGTTAGACCAATCCATAGCTCCAGTAACATTGCATTAATGGACTTGTCTTACCATAGCCCCTTAAGCATTTATCTTTTTTGTCTTTATTAGGAACATTTCCACATGTGTAGCAGAACATAAAAAAAGAGTATTGTACATAAAAACATATCTCTGCTATTTCAGCTTGCTTTTCTTTTAAGTAATGATAAATTCAACATAGAGCTTTGGAAACTGTTCTGCTTACCTATGATTCTTTCTGATCCTCTTCTTCTGTATGTTTATTAAAAATGCTTCAAACATCCTCTTTTCTTTCTTTTCTTTCTATTTTTGTTGTTGGTGGCAACCCTGGTCTGCACTCCATTTCATGTGTCCTGACCCTACTAAAAAAGAAAAAAGAAGAAAAAAACCCTTATAGCTAATATGCTTAGTCAAGTAAAACAAATTCTCTCATTTCTGAAAATGTATGTTTTATTCTGCCTCTTGAATCCATCCCCTCTCTGGAAGTGGGTGTGTAGCATGCTTCATCATTTATCCCCTGGAATCATGGTTGATCATTACGTTGATCGGAGTTCTTAAGTCTTTCACATTTGTTTTCTTCATAGTATTATTGTATACATTGTTCTATTGATTCTGCCCACTTCACTTTGCATCAGTTCATGCAGATCTTCAAAAGTTTCTCTGAGAACATTTCTTTTGTCATTTTTATGATGCAATAATATTCCATTATATTCATATACACAATTTGTTCAGACCTTCCTTTGATGGGTACCTACCCCTCCTTAATTTCTATATAAAAATGCAGAGCATTTTTTCATGTGGTTGTTGTTTGCTTGCATTTGTTTTAACTCTGTCCTCAACAAAATAGTTACTATCTATTGAGGACTGACTGAAAAAAATGATAGTGTGCAAATGTACTCAAGTAATTAACAAACATTTATTAAGGGCCTATTGTGTGCCAGGCTATATTAAGGGCTAAAATTAAAAGACAGTCCCTGCTCTCAAGGATCTCACAGTGTAATAGGGAAGAAAATAGGCAAACATTTACATACAAACAAACTATCTATAAGCTAATTTGGAAATAATTAATAGAGGGAAGGCACCAGAAGTAAGGAGGGGGGAGGTCAGGGAAGACTCTCTGTAGAGGATGGGATTTGAGCTAGGACTTGACAGAAGCCAGGGAAGCCAGAAGGCAGAAATGAGGAAGGAGAGAGCTCCAAATATGGGGAGACAATCAATGAAAATGCCTGGAGTCAGGAGATGGAGTGTCTTGTTTAAGAAACAAAAAGGATGGGGCAACTGGGTGGTATAGTGGATAGAGCCCTGGAGTCAAGAGGACCTGAGTTCAAATCCAGCCTCGAACACATAATACTTACCAGCTGTATGACACTGGGCAAGTCACTTAACCCTGCTTGCCTCACAAAAAGAGAGAGAGAGAGAGAGAGAGAGAGAGAGAGAGAGAGAGAGAGAGAGAGAGAGACTGAATCATAGAATACATATAGGAGTAAAAGTCATAAGAAGATTAGAAAAGCGGGAGAGAGGGGAATAGGGAGATATAAGTTATGAAAGGCTAAACATAAAAAAAATGCTAAACAGAGGCTTTTATATTTGATCCTGTCTGTAATAGGGAACCAATAGAGTTTGCTGAATGGGTGTAAGGGGAATAAATAAATGAAGGAGAGGAGTGATGACATGGTTAGACCCAAGCTTTAGGAGGATCACTTTGACAGGATTGGAAGATGGCCTGGAGTAAGGACAGACTTGTGGCAGGGAGATTAACCAGTATGCTCTTGCAATAGTCCAGATGTGAAGCAATAGAGCCTGCAAAAGGATGGTGTCAGTGTCAGAAGAGTATCAGAAGAGGGAGTACATACCAGAGATGTTAGGGAAGGAAAATTGGCAGGCCTTGGCAACAGATTCGATAAAGAAAGTGAGAAAGAGTGAGAAGTTGAGGATGACACCTAGATTTTGAGCCTAGGTGATTGGGAGGATGATGGTACCTCAAAAGTAATAGGAAAGTTTGAAAGGGGAGAAAGCTTGGGGGTAAAGACAATGAGTTCAGTTTGGAACATGTGAAATTTAAGATGTCTGTAAGACATTGAGTTAGAGGTGTCCAAAGGCAATTGGAGATTCAAGACTGGAGGTCAGCAACAAAGTTAGGGCTGGATAAGTAAATATGAAAATCATCAGCATAAGGATGATAATTAAATCCATGAGAGCTGATGAGATCACCAAGCAAAATAGTATATTATTTGCCCTTAAGAAATGATGAAAGGTTTCTTGCCTTCTCAATGGATAGAGAAGGGTCAGAGAGGAGGGAGAGAGTTCAGAACTGAAAATAAGATTTTTTAAAAAGAAAGTAATTATGAAAGGGATGGATTCAGAGGACTTGTGGGTGCTCATATGAAATGACCCATAGTGAAATAAGCAGAGCCAACAGAAAAAAAATATGCAATGATTACAATATCATAGAAGAAAAGAAAACAACCAATCAGAACTCTAGATCCTCCTCTGGGCAGAGAGGTGATGAGCTAAAGATGCAAAATGGCACATGCATTTTTAGGCACTGCCAAAGTATATGGATGTGTTTTGAGTGACTATACTTATTTGGTACAATTGAGTACTTTTATTTTGGTGAGGAGACAGGGTAGAGGAGGGAGGAGATTGTGGTTTAGTAATACAATACCAAAATTTTTTATGAAGGAGGAAAACTCCCTTCTCAACTCAGCTGCTGAGAATCCCCAGCACCGTTTACAGTTTAATTCGAATGCCTTTGTCTGCAGAAGACTCAACCTCATCCCTCCAGTTACTAGTACTCACCCCCTCAAAATTTCTTTCTATGTATTTTGTATTTAATTTTCTATGCACACATTGTTTTGCTCAATACAATTTAAATTCCTCAAAGGCAGTAACTATTTCATTTTAGTCTTTGTATCTCCAAACCATAGCACAGTGCCTGGCACATCATAGGTGTTTAACAAATGCTTATTGAATTAATGATTGAATAAATTGCCTATTCATATACTCTAGCCATTTTTCTATCAGGGAATGGTTCTTGTTCTGATACTATTTTCATCAATCCCCTGTATAACATGGAAATCAGATCTTTATGAGAGATATTGCTGCAAAAAAATGTTTCCCAATTAAGTGCTTCTTTCTAATTCTGGCTGCCTTGAGGGAAGAGAAGAGAAGGGAAAGGAATAACCACTTATTATGTGCTGAGTACTTTTACAAATATTTTTGTAAGCATTTTTACAAATATTATCTCATTTGATTCTCACAGTAACCTTGTGATGTAGGTCTATTATCATCCTCATCTTACAACTGAGGAAACTTTGTGTTCATATAAAGGATTTTCAATTTTTTTGTGATTGCAATTGTCTGTTCTGTCTTCTCTGATCACTTCTATCCTTTGTTTATTTGAGAATTTGACCAAACATTGAAGAATTCTCCTTCAAGTCAGAGTTGTACAAGACAGCTCCTTTCAATTCCCTTAATATTTTGTTTGTAATTTTATATTTGAAGTGTATATCCATCTGGAGCTTCTTGTGGCATTGGTGTAAATGACAGTCTGAACATAATCCCTGCCAGATTGCTTTACGATGTTTTAAAAATTGTCAAATGAAGGGGCAGTTAGGCAGTGCAGTGGACAGAGCACTGGCCCTGAAGTCAGGAGGACCTGAGTTCAAATTCAACTTCAGACCAAACACTTCATATTTACTAGCTGTGTGACCCTGGGCAAGTCACTTAACCCCAATTGCCTAAAAAAAAATCATCAAATGAGCAGTCATTTCTGAGTTTAATGAAGATGAGAATTGTGTGTTTGATCAATTCGGAGGACAACTCTGATGGGAAAAAATTGTAAAATCTAGAAAGTATCTGGGGATAAAACTCAATATTAAATATAGAACATATGGCCTATTGGGCCCAGAAAAACCACTGAAACATCTCTCTGTTTCACATATCTTAGGTAAAGAATTCATGAGTCTCTTCCAAGAGGAGAAAACTTCTCTGATATGTCTGTTTCTCTGTCAGTTCCAGTGTCTCAGCCCCTCTTCAACATCAGTGCACTCAGGGCACAGGCCACTGTGGGGGATGTGGTGGAGTTTCACTGTCAAGTCCTCAGAGGTTCTTTTCCAATTCAGTATCAACTTTATCATGAGATGGCAATCCTTGAGAACAAGATGGCCCCTTCTGGAGGTGCAGCTTCCTTCAACCTCACCATGACAACTAGGCATTCTGGGAAGTACTTCTGTAGGGCCAACAACAGTTTCAGTTACCAGCTCAGTGAAATTCTGATACTGTCCATCTCAGGTAGGTAAGACGCTCTGTGATTGACGCTGACATCTAAAAATGATGAGGAAACTTTGATGATGGTGGATTATAGGGCAATACTTTCTGAAACTGGCTCATGCAAGATTCTAACTGTGTCTTGAGTCATGAAGGAAGGGGATGAAGTGAAGTCAGAGTTCAACAAATACTTATCACCCTCTGCCCTAAATTGGTCTGTAACTGGCAAACTATAATTCAAGTTACTAGGTAAATACCTCTGTGATCATCCAACCCTACCTACAACTGTTGCTAAGAGAAAAACCCACAGATCTCTATTTTCCACCCATGTTCCGATATCTGGAGATGCTTTGGGCCCCAGGGATGTCTCCTCCAGATCTCATCCATAGCTGTTTCCTCGCAGTTCCTATAGGAAGTCAGAAGAACATGGCCACTGTGGGAATCACTGTTTCCCTGATCAGCATCTTTATCTTCATTATTGTTGTTCCTGTGGTTTACTTCAAACTCCTGAGAAAATCAGGTTTGTAGCTCACCTTGGTTACCCTTTGTTAAGCCTATATATTTGTGAAATCAGTTTGATATATTAGACTTGTGTTTAGGCTTTTCCCACTTAGACTCTATTGTAGTTCTAATAGCCCATGATCAGAGATGCCAGGCTGAGAGTTTAACTGAACTCAATTCAACAAACATCCATTAAAGACCAACTATATGCCAGGCTTGGGGAGGAAACAAAAGGACAAAACCAAAGCAGCCCATGACCTCAAGAAGCTTGCAGTCAAATAGAGGGAAAGCCACGCACACAATTGTCATATAAGGAAGAGTGAAACAAATGCAAAAGAGTGATCCACATAAATGTTAGTATAAGTTTGAGGAAAGAAATATGATTTTTTCTTATGGAGTGGGAAGAGGCAGGCTTCGTGGAATAAGTGATATTGGCATTAGACATTGAATAAAGAGGCAGATAGTATGAGGTTGTAGGTGGGGCCCACCTATGGAGAATGGGATGAAAGGGGACAAAATCAGAGTAGGGGGGTAGAGAGTAGTCCACTTTGCCTAGCAAATGGTGCATATAAAAGGGATAAGATTGGAAAGCTAACTTGGAGCCATGATGGGAAGTCCCTTCCTAAGGCATTCAGCTGGGACTCAGAATTTAGCATTTACTTTTTTAGACACTCAGAAGGGAACTTAGAGATCATTTCAGAATTGATGAAATAAAGCCCAGATAGGTAAAATTCCACTAAGGAGGCGTTTGTTCTGGCATTTGCAACTTCTTATATAAGATATAAAATGTTTGATTATCATTTAATGCCAGTGATTCCCAGAACGATACAAGAGATCCTATTCAGTGCAATTTTAAGCTTTAATAACCACTAAAACTTGTGAGATCTCTGTGTATCCAGCCCTCCATCTCTCTTCTGAGCTCCAATCCCCTATCTCCAACTGCCTATTAGACATTTAGAACTGAATGCCCCACAGTCATTTCAAATTAAGTATGTCTAAAGCAGGCTTGCCAGATAGTAAGTATGGGAGGCTTGATTCAAACTCAAGGTATTCATGACCCCTGGCCTGGTAATCCATCCCAACGTCTCTCATATATGCCTCCTTCTTCTCATTCACAAAATCACCACTCAATTCAGGTTGGCATCATCTCCAGTTGGACTACTGCTATAGCACTGATCTTTTTTGCTTTAAATCTCTCTCCACTCAGATGCCAATAGGATCTTCCTAAAAGCTCATGTCTGTCCATGTTACTCAATAAACGCTACTGGCTTCCTATTACCTCCAGGATCAAATATAAATCCTTGATTTGGCATTTAAAGCTCTTCACAGCTTGGCCTTTTCCTACCTTCCCAGTGTTATGACATGTTACTGCCTGCTACATATTCTGTAATCCAATATACTGGCTTACTTACTGTTTCTTTCTTTTTTTTTTTTACAATGTTAAAAAAAAAAACTTATATAGCCTGACAAAAACTTAAAATCATACAAATGAGTCCTAAATGCTTGCTCGCACCTCAATAGTCATAGGATGTCTCAGCTGTCAGAGACCTTAGACTTTATCTGAGCTAGTGCCTCATTTTACAGAAGAGGCAAGTGAGATTCCAAAATATTGAAGCAGCCCTGATTATAATGCTTGGCCGCAACTTCTTGCCTTCCAATCCCGTGTTTTTTACACCAAGCTGCCATGTGAGTTCTATATGGTTTTTATGTTCTAGTTAAACACTGCATCACAAAAACAAGAGACCTTTTTACTTGCAGCAAACACTCCATCTGCCATCTGTATGCATTTGTACTGGCTGTCCTGCCCACGCCTGGGGGACTCTCCCTTGGGACCTCCACTTGTTAGTGTTCCTTGCTTCCTTCAAGTGTCAACTCAAATCCTCCTTTCTGCAAGAAGCCTTGGCAAGTCCCCTTAGCTGCTTCCTCATTGAGATTTTCTTCCCTGTGTTCTGTATAGACTGTAAATGTACCTAGTAATTTACATGTTGTCTCCTCTATTAGAATGGGAACTCCTTGAGGGCAAGGATGATTTTTATCCTTTGTTTGGACCCTCAGCACTTTGGACAGTGCCAGGTACCCAGTAAGTGTTAAAGAATTGCTTTCAAGGGCAACTAGATGGCGCAGTGGATAGAGCACCAGCTCTGGAGTCAGTAGGACCCGAGTTCAAATCCGACCTCAGATACTTGACACTTTCTAGCTGTGTGACCTGGGCAAGTCATTTAAATCTGATTGCCTCACAAATAATAGTAATAACAATTGGTTGTTATTATTGCGATGGTATTATTATAATAATAACAATTGCCTGTTGATTGACTAATTGACCAACTCTAATAAAGCCTTCATTGTCATCACCAGATGATGATGAGTTCTAGCTTGATGCTGTCTCCTTTACTATGTGGAGAAAATCCCTAGACATGGTTAACTCCTTGATAAGGTGTGAGTTCCTTGCCTTATTGTCCCCACTGACATTATAATTGACCTGACTAAGGGATTCATTACCAGTTCAGAAACCTCATCTGCTCTGCCAGGGCTTAGAGATCTGTAGAAAGAAGGAAAGGAAATCTGGGGGTTCCATTGGAGAGAAAGAAGTAGAGGCACACAAGGACTCATTTATTTGGGGGTGGGGGAGAACCTGTACAACCAGTTAGCCCATTCATCCAACTGTGGGTGTGTCCTCCTCAGGAAGACTTTCTACTCTGCAGAGGAGTTTCATGACTCATTAAAGAAACTGCATCAATGCCAGAACATAGGCTACATCCCTAGGAGAAGAATAAATCCAGGACAATATCTTGGCATACCCATTTCACTTGTTTTGCCTCGTATCCCAGAATTTTACCTGGGAAGTTTTCCACCAATGAGAGGAAAGACCTTGGCCTCTTAGGTTGTGCTGAGGTTCAATCAAGCACTTCTTGAGTAACTACTATGTGCCAGGAAGTATACTAGGTTCTGAGAATACAAAACCAAAAATAAAACATCCTTTCCCTCAATGAGCTTATAACGTAGGAGATAAAATATCTATAAATAAGTGCAAAACACTTTTTAAAATACAAAGTAAAATGAGGGACAGGGTAGAGAAGAGAAGAATCATAACAATAGCTAATATTTATATAGATCCTATTAGGTGCAGGCACTGTGCTAAGCACTTTACCATTATTATGTCATGTGATCCTCACAACCACCTTTGGAAGTAGGCGCTGCTATTAACTCCATTTTATAGATGAGGAAACTGAGGCAAACAGAGATAAGTGACTTGCCCAGAGTCACATAGTTAGTAAGTGTCTGATTTGAACTCAGGACTTCCTGACCCCAGGCCTGGAGGATATACGTTTTATGATTATGCAAGCAGTTTCTACACAGCTATAATTTCAGGGTTTGTTTTTGTTTTGTTTTGTTTTGTTTTAGGCAATTGGGGTTAAGTGACTTGCCCAGGGTCACACAGCTAGTAAGTGTCAAGTGCTGGATTTGAAAACAGGTCCTTCTGACTTAAGGGCCACTATGCCACCTAACTGCCCTAATTTCAGTTTTATGACTTGGTTTTGCTGACTGAGCTGATTCCTTATACAGATTTTTTTTAATTTTTATTGATCACTTTTGTTAGTGAGACATCCTTCTAAACAAAAAGAAGGAGGAAGAAGAACAGGAGAGTAGAGGAGGAGGAGAAAGTCTTTCAGCAAAACTGTCAAACCTATCAACAGAGACTGACATTATATGTAGTATTCCATATCCCTTGTTTCCCCACCTATCAAATCAAGTTGGACAAAGCTGAGGGAGGCACATTTTCTCACTCCTTATTCAGGGTTAATTTTAGTGATTAAATTATAAATAAATGGAGTTCAGGGGTTTTTGTTTTGTTTTGTTTTTTCAACCTGTTTCTTAACACAGTTTGTTTTCTAAGGGTCCAAACCCTTCTCCCCTCTATAATACGTTTTGAAAGTGCAGAACAGGACACTTCTGGAGCATAGTCACAGTGGTGATTTCTCAAAGCAACTAGGGAATCTCCCATCTTCCCTACCGTTAACCCTGCCTAGTGTTTGGGGAGCTGGTGCCCTATGAGTCACCTCTCTCCTTTCTGGCCTCAGAAAGATTTATCCTTCCATGGGAAAGCCTCATAAACAGTGACTGACCCAACTGAACTCTAACTTTAGGAGAACAAAGATCGTAGAATTGAAAGCTGAAAAGAAACTTGGAAACTCAAACCCTTCTTTTTTACACAGAACAGAACTAAGGCACTAAGAGATAGAGTGATTTTCCTAATGTCCCACAAGTAGTCACTAGGAGAGTTAGGAAACCAGTGTTTTGCCATTGTGCTATATAATGACATTGGCTATTGCTTGAAATTGCCAGAAATTACACAGAATAATGAGGTACAATCCTTGATTCTAGTACCAAATGATTGAGGGTTAATCCTCATATGAAACTATACCCAATGCCAAGATTGCTGTTCAGTCTTCTCCCAGAGGTATCACAGACTTGATGTTAGAAGGGACATTAGAAACTATCTAGTCCAACCCACCCATTTTACAGATGGGAAGACTAAGGCCCAGAAAAGTTAAGTAACTAACTTGCCCGTGGTCACATAGAGAGTAAATGGGAAAGGAAGGATTTGAACAGAGGTCCTTTAAATCCAGTGATCATTCCACTGTACTATGTTGCTTTTCAAAGGTCTTTCCTAACTAGAGATTGAACCATGGCGGTGGTGGTAAGAAGGCTGAATTCTAATTCAAATTCTAAATCTGGTTTGTATTAGAATCTATGCAAGGAAAGCATTCTTGGTAGCCTGTGTCTAATACTTGTTATCAGTTCAGTGAAACATAGATAAGCAGAGGGCAAATGCAAGTGGGGGTATGGATTTTTAATAGTATTTTTTCGCCAATTATATGTCAACACAATTTTTAGCATTCTTTTTTACAAGATTTTGAATTCCAAATTTTTCTCTTCCCTTCCCTCCCTCCCCTCCCTTCTTTCTAAAATGATAGACAATTTGATATGAGGGTATGGATTTTGATAAGTCTATGTGAAATTAGTGCATTCAAAAAGAATTTTATAATTCACTGATTTAAGAAAACTGCTCTTTGGAATTCTATCTTCCAACATTTCTTGATGTGGTAGAACAAAACCTGTTCCAGGCCTATAATTTTTTTACTCTCTTCTTTAAAATTCCCACTTGTTAGGAAGGAAGGAAGGAAGGAAGGAAGGAAGGAAGGAAGGAAGGGAGGAAGGGAGGGAGGGAGGAAAGAAGGGGAGGGGAAGGGAGGGAAGGGGAGAGGAAGGGAGGGGAGGGGAGAGAAGATCTAACACCCTGTTCTTGTGCTTTTTAGGAAGAAGCTCTGTCCCCAGCCCACACAGGTGAGGCTCTGCCTCTTCAACCCTCTTCATGTTTTCTGCCCTCTCCACCCCCATTGCACTGCCCCACCTACCCACCCATGCAGAAGCTCAAAAGTGGACTAGTTACTGCCTTTTGTCCCTGGGGATGCACCTGTTTCACACTTTTTGGAATGTACAGAGGATTTCACAGGACAATGCCCTCACTGCTATCCCCAAAGCATCCCCTTCACTATCTAGTTACTGATCTGCTTATGCTTAATATTAATATGGTTATTTAACTCACAGTCTTGACCAATGCTCTTCATTTCCTTATATTTCTCTAATCCTTCCTGTGTCAGGATCTTAGCCTTAGGTTATGAGATTCCAAGTGGTATGGGCTGTGTTTTTCTAACTGTTATATATATATATATATATATATATATATATATATATATCTTAATCCAGACAAAGACAAATAAAAGTGCTGAATTAATTCCTTTTGAGAATTATTATGACAATAAAAAGGATAAATATTTTAGCCATTCAGAGTGGTCACTCCGTCAAGTAAGAAATTCTTATCCACAGACTGACCTTGTTCCTAAGTCATCCCTCTTTGACAATGCCATCACATTGTTTCTCTCTTAAAAGAACCCACATTAGTTGCCTGTGTAATTGAAGCCTAGGCTCCTAAGGAATAAATATTACCTCACAGAATAGCCAAATTCTCAGTGACCTTTTGGCTTCTGATTTCCCTAAAATTCAATACTATCCCTGTTTTGGGGGGGTTTTATTTTTTTGTTTTGTTCTGTTTTGTTTTGCTTCCAGAGCTCTGCCCATGACTTACTTGCATTTGATTGTGTTTCTGTTCCAAGCTATAGCTTGTGTCTCTTTCCCCCAGGGCCTCTCCCATCTTGAACCTTCAGGAACCTGTCTACTCAAATTCATCTGCCCAAATGGAACTGGTGCCAATATATGGTAATGGTAAGGACCTCACCTTTGGGTAAGGGTTGAAGCACTTGGCCCTGTGAGTAGAATGAGGCAGAGGAAAGGGAACAAGAGGTAAACAGGGCTAAATCCTTGTAGATGCCCAAGGCACCAAAATCAATGAATGGCATACCTAGAATCATGAATAAATGAATGAATGAAAAATCATTTATTAAATAGTTAATATAAACAAAGTACTATGTTAAGTTCTGGGGATACAAATAAAAAAGTAAGAGTCCCTGCTCTCAAGAAATTCACAGTCTAATGGTGATAGACAACACACAAAGGTTTTAGCTGCAAGTCAGATGGAAAGGTCCCATGGTACAGCTGGCAAAGCAGGTGCAAATGAATTTTTAGGTAATTTCCAGTGATATAAAAAGGTTGGACCATCTGATAGGGATGGACTTTGCTCACCAGAATTTTCTTTTCTGGGTCTTGAGTAGTTATTGCAGAAATTACAGAAGGCTCTACCAGTCTACACATCCCCTAGGATTGCTTCCTGGAGTGCTGACCATGGGGACTAGGTTGGAAGTAGGAAGGATAGTCTGGGAGTGCTGTCCTATATGTCCTAGAACTCTTGGGTTTATCTGACCATCAATGGCAGTTGGTCAACAACTTTTGTTGGTATTTGGAGAAAAAACTGCATATTATTCAATTCAAATCCTCCACCATGATTGTTCCCAAAATTGGAAGCAGAGCCATTAGTTTGTGGGATAGGGCTTTTCCCAAGGCTCTTAGATTCAGAGTCCTAGCTTGTATCTCTCTGGATTTGAAGGGAGGTAATGATTAAGACAGTGGTGGTGGTTTGATTCACTCGGCACATGCTACCTCCCTTTACTGCTTCAGTCTGGCTGGCTTGCCCGTCTCATCATCAAGTAAAAAGGATTCTGAGGGAAATGGTTAGGAAGAGCTAGTAGTCCAAGCTCTCAGCCAGGGCACCTTGATCAATTTTGTCTTCTTTTGCAGTGAATCCTGTAATTAAGGACACAGTCTATTCTGAGCTCTGGAGCACTGAGCAGGGAAAAACACGTAAAGGTGAGTCAATGGGAAGTGATTGTGACTCTAAATTATATCTTACTGGATCTTAGAGTATTGCTCTAAATAGTGAATATCAATGTCTAAAAATGTAATACGATTCATTGTAAACAGTAAGTTCCCCAACAGTGGAGGTGTTCCAGCAAGGGCTTGATGATCACCTGTATAGGATACTTGTAGAAAGGATTCATGCATTGGGAAGGGGCTCAGATTAGATGACTTCTGAAATCTGCTAAGAGTCTATCATGTTAGCCCTTGGCCAATATGTTCTGGAAAACTTTGTCTTCTCTTTCAGTAAATCCTGTAGTTGGAGATGTGGTTTATTCTGAGGTCTCTTCCAAAGAACATGGAAAGGAAGATAAGATCCCTCAGTGGTTTAACCCAACATGTTTATCAAGTGACTCCTGTTTGTAAGCTCTGCACCTGGTAGTGCAGAAAGATGCAAAAAGAATTCAGCATAGATCTTGTCCCCACCCTCCAATCTCAAAATCTAGTAAGGAGATAGGGCAGGAATACCACTAACTATAATACAAACCAGATTGTGAGAATTACAAAGTATTATAGAGAAAGAAATGATCACATACAATTGGAGAGGCTTATGAAAGGCTTCATGATGTAGGTGACATTTGAGATGGGTCCTGAATGATGTAGGAGATTTCAATGGGGACTAGAAATATAAGTGTAGGAAAGGAAATTATTTCAGGCACAAAGAGAAAAAAAAATAGACCATGTCCAGTATAATAGCTAATAATAATTATATGGCACAGTGGATAGATAGACCTAGAGTGAGGAAGACTCATTTTCCTGAGTTCGCATCCAACCTCAGACACTTAATAGTTGTGCGACCCTGGGCAAGTCACTTAACCCTGTTTTCCTGAGTTTCCTCATTTGTAAAATGAGCTGGAGAAGGAAATGGCCAACTCCAATATCTTTGCCAAGAAAACCCAAACAGGGGCACAAAGAGTCTGAAAGATGATAAGTAAAGTCATGAAAATGATGAGATTAGCAAGGGAGAAGGTATAGGGAGAAAAAGGATTAGGAATAAGGTTTTGTGTCTCAGTTCAATTCAATTCACTATAATTTAATTCATAGTGTTTTACTATATTGATTCCAGAGGAAAGAGAAAATTTTTAGATAAGATACAGTCCCTATTCTCATGGAGCTTTTAATCTAGTAAGTTAAGAAGATACAAATGTGAATAACTATAATATGAAATATCATAGAATAAGTGAATTAAAGAGAGATATTGTTAATGCTTGAAGAAATCTAAAGCTTAATAAGATTGCTGGATTTGTAGCCAGAAGATTTAGTTGCAAATCTTGACTGTTACTACCTGTGTCACTGTGGGTGAGTCATTGTCCATCTCCGTGCATCATCTATAAAAAGAAAAGGTTAGACTAGATTATATATCTGTCAGATTTCTTTTAACTCTCTGTCCTATGATGTGTAGGATCATTGACTGGCGAACAGACATTTGCAAAACCACATCCTTGGGATTTAATTCTTCTCTTCATGCCAGGGTTAATCTCTAGTTTGACAATCACTTTTGATGATACATAGATAGGAGAAAGGAATAAGCATTTATTAAGCATGTGTTATATGCCAGGCACCTTAATAAGCATTTTACAGGTGTTATGTCATCTGATCCTTCACAACCTGTGAAGTAGGTACTAGTATGATCCCCATTTTACAGTTGAGGAAACTGAGGCAGAGGTTTCGTGACTTGTATAAGGCCATATAGCTAGTAAGTGTGTGAGACTGAATTTGAGCTCAGGTGTAATGACTCAAGGCCCAATGTGTGACCTAGCTGCTGAGCTTGGGGAAGAAGAAGAAGAAGAAGAAGAAGAAGAAGAAGAAGAAGAAGAAGAAGAAGAAGAAGAAGAAGAAGAAGAGAAGAAAGGAAGAAGAAGAAAGAAGAAGAAGAAGGAGGAGGAGGAGGAGGAGGAGGAGGAGGAGGAGGAGGAGGAGGAGGAGGAGGGAGGAGGAGGAGGAAGGGAGGAGGGAAGGGGAGGGAAAGGGGGAGGGAAGGAGAGAAGGGGGAAGGAAGGGGGAGGGCAAGGGGGAAGGAAGGAGGGAAGGAAGGAAGACATGGGACCCTTCCCAAAATGATGAAGGATTCCCCAATTGGGAGAGAGGAGCTCACTCATATCAGAAGTCCCTCCAGGGTTGTTGCACTGGGGCAGGTAAATAGAAGGAGGAAGAATCTAGGAAAAGAATCAAGGAGTAAGTGAGATCCTCTTACTGTGAGTGACTCAGATTTCTCTGGCCCTCCTTCTGTGGTGTCTTTCCTAGATATTCACAGACTTTCAGGGAAACCCTTACAGACTTTTCTCTGCCCACTCTACACGAGATAGATTTTCCAGTGAATTTTTTTACAAGTTTATATTTTTGTACAAGAGTACAAAATAGGGGTTGGTCATCACTATATTCTGAGTGAACTGGTGGCATTCTAGGCCCTAATTGTTAGAGACTTGGAGTACTAGAGTGGGGTTGGAAAGGAGATCTTAAGCACCTGAGGTTCCTCTGGATAAAGGACAGGGAAACATTGAGGCATCTCTGAGTGACTCTTCTTTCCTCTCTGTCTCTGTGTGTAATTGCCATGTGACTTGTGGCCTGTCTTCTCTCTTCTGATAATTCAAATTTTCATGTGCATAGTGAAAGGAATCACTTGGCCCCTCCCTCTCACCACAGATCCCCATCTAGAACACTGGAGAAGGAAGGACAGACAGCAGAGGACTAAGAGTTGGCTCAGAGAAATAAATGAAAGAATAAAAACTAATGAGAAAGCATTTATTAAACACTATTTGCCAAGCACTGGGCTAAGTACTCACTATTCAAATCACAAGCAAAGACAGTCTGTGCTTTCAAGGACCGAACAGAGATAGCTTTTGTCAGGAAATTGCCATGATCACACGAACTAGAAATTGTAGCCTCTGAGCATCTTTGTCCTTCTGACGCTGGGGAAGACTACAGATCAATGGAACTCTTTAGAAACTTAGCAAAAGGCAGGATTAAGGGATGGACAAAGCAAAATGGTGAGTCCAACTGAATAAGGACCAGCATGGGAGAAAGGAACAGAGCTGTAGAGAAAGAGATGAGTGACCAAAGGGAAGAGTACAGTTAGAGAGCAAACCATGGGCTCTAGGTGGGAAAGTCATTACCCATAACTCAAAACTTCCCTTACTTCCGCAGCAAACAACACAAAGAACCCTCCCGAGGAGAAGGTGAGTCGTGTTTCCTGGCTATTCTCTCCCTTGCCCCTTCTCTCCCTCCCCCACATCCTCACCCCAGTCTTTTCCCTTCCAGGACTCCTCAACTGTCTATGCTAAGGTGAAGAAAGATCAACCTGGAGATTCAGAAAAAGCCAAGGCTGAAGATAGAAGTCAAGATGGTGCCAGCAATTATGAAAATGTGAAGTTCTCCTGACCCCTCAGTGACAACTGGACCCACACCCAACTTGTTCTTCCATATAGGTCCATAAGGCAGTTCTTTCCCTAAGTTCAAAACTTCACCTTAAGCATACACAAAAGTGAAGCCATCTAATTACTCATTTAGGTTTTCATTATGAAAGGAAGTTGAGTCACCTACACTGGGCCTTTCCCTTCTGGCCCAGCACATTCACCCAGGAAACCAAATAACAAAACAAAAAGTTGTTTAATAAATGCAAAAATAAATCAGAGGATCTGAATATGTTTAATAACTTTTTTATTAAGGTTTGCTAATTTAATGAAATATCCTTCTCCACTCAAGGAATATTGCTGTTTAAAAACAAAACAAAACAAAACCAGGACCCTGCATCTGAAGTCAGAGAACCTAGAAAGCACTGGAAATATATTAATAACTTCTGATTATACCTTTCTCCTTTTTCAATATTCCTTACAAGCCACGTCTCAGTTTCTTCATCTCTAAAATGAATTAGATGGATTAAGTGATAATTAAAATCATTCCAATCCTAAACATTATGTGAAGCTATTGACAGTGTTCCTATACTGAGAGACATGTTGGGGCAAGGGAGAGAGCACTGGATTTTTTTTTCCTTCCAGAAGTTCTGGGTTCAAGTTCTGGCACTTCTACCTTCTCTTTATGCAGCAGTGTGCTTGTAAATATTTAACTGATTTTCTAGGGTGGAAAAAGTGTACATATGGGGGCAGCTAGGTGTCACAGTGGATAGAGCACCAGCCCTGGAGTCAGGGGGACCTGAGTTAAAATCCAGCCTCAGACACATAACACTTACTAGCTGTGTGACTTTGGGCAGGTCACTTAACCCCAATTGCCTCACCAAAAAAAAAAAGGTGTACATATGACACACCTTTACATTTAATCTGCATTATTAACATTTTATTCATCACTTTCTTAAGTCTAGGTAATCAACAAAACAATAAACAAAGCCTTTTTTTCCAATTTCCAAGGTATAAATAATGCTCACACTGAAAATTTAACAATCACCTCTCCAGAACTGGTTCAATCCGGCTCAAGCACTTCTGAAATAGTCATATTACATCTCTCAGTCTTCATTTCCTTATTTATAAATAAGAAAGGGCTGAACTCTGTAAGGTCCAATGATCTTATTGGAGATTTCTATCTGTTCTTGTCATTACAATATTTCCCTTCTTCCTCAACATGCTTTCACAACATGCTAAAAATACCGCCTTAGATGCTCATCCTACATCGATTACATTTTAGAGTGAGTTCGTTCTGGTAGCACCTTGCTCTCCTAATTACACGCCTGCCAATTACCCTTCAGGATCATTCATTTTGGAGAACGTTAATCTCAACTGGACCATTCCTTTCTTGACCATTGCTCATAAGGAGGGTGAGAAGGCCAGAGTCAGTGATGACTCACCCCATAGCTCCAAGCCTAGTCTAATGGAGGAGCTGGTGTACAATGATTAAAAATAGGGTAGCCAGGAGGAAAAGCGGGGGCAGGGGGTTGAGTTCAATTTTGGTCATGTTGAATATGAGGCAAAGCAAGAACATACAGGTGGAGATGTATAAGAGAAAGATGGAAATGTGGTCATTTCTAATGCCCATCCTGGAATAGGGCTAACTTTTGGGCTTCTAGTCCCCACAGAGCCCTCAGTCTCCTTCACTTACCATTATTTTTCTACCTCCATATCCCGACAGGCTAGCACAGGGCCTTTTACACACAAGGTATTTAATAAAGATCTGTTCAATTTTATTGAAATCAGAGCCATAAATATAATTTTTCATACGTGGGACAAATCTCACAAAATATAAGTTCTGAAAGATTCACAAAACCTACACAAATCAAATAGTATGAAAAATGCTCTTAAATAAACTTTTAAAAGACAAATGATGTTGGGGCACAGCCAGGGGAGCTGTTAGGGGGAGAGGAGGCTTGAAAATAGTCATATGACAGACTGATAAACAACAAGGCAGTGAGGGGATGGGGAAAAGAAAGAAGAATAAGCATTTATTAAGTACCTACTATGTGACAAACAACTATGGGGGTAGATAGGTGGTGAAATTAATAGAGCACCAGGCCTGGAGTCAGGAAGACTCATCCTTCTGAGTTCAAATCTGGCCTCAGACACTTACTAGCTGTGTGACCCTGGGCAAGTCATTTACCCCTATTTGCCTCAGTTTCCTCTTCTGTAAACTGAGCTGGAAAAGGAAATGACAAACTATTCCAGTATCTTTGCCAAAAAACATCCCAAAATTGGGTCATGGAGAGACACAGACACAACTGAACAACAGCAAAATTTCATGACTCTGAGATTAACTCACTTAGCCTCCCATGCCAATGGCCAGTTTTATTATTATGACTATTTTATACTGTCATTAAGCTGTACCACAGAAAGAAAGGCAGAAAGGTATAGTTGACAGATCACTGGACTTGGAGGAAGGAAGACCTGGGTTTGAATCCTGCTTTAAATATTTACTGCACAGGTCACTTATCTCTCTGGGCTTCAGTTTTCTCATTCAGTAAAATGTGGGAGTTGGAAATACGCTTTAAATGTAAACTTAGTTCTTGCAATCACTTTCTTCACTAATTACTAAGGCAGGAACCAAAGTTTACATGAATTCACTTTAATCAGAACAGGAATTAGCGTGGAGTGACCAGGACTTTGCCCTAGATCTGGGTTCAAGTCCTATCTCTGACATACATTGACTGGGCAACCTGGGCAAGTCGCTTAACCTCTCAAGGCCCCAGACAATTTTCCAAGGCCATAAGATGAGGAGCCATTGCCAGGCTCCATCAGTTGAGGGAATTTTTTCACCAAGAGCTTCCTTCAGTTACGTGAACAAGAACAATAAAAAAGATAAATATTCACAGAGCACTTTATGTTACCTCCTTTGAGAGGTGAGGGGCTAATTTGGCGGCTGGGGCATGAGATGGATTTGTAAGCCAGAACATTCATGGTTTTTGTTTTTATTTTTTGCCTACAATGGGATGTGTAGCCAACATGAGAATCATTCCTTGTTACCTGCATGGGGCAGTCTCTACTCAGGCTTCAGTCTACCTAGAAGGCAAAACTGAAGGGTCAGGAGGCTGCATGGTAAATTCAGAATCACAAAATCTGAGATTCAAAAGGCATTTAAGCATCCATCCAGTCCAATTCATACACGAAAGGACTCTCCACTATAATATACCTGGCTATGGTCATCCAGCTTCCTCTGCTTACAGACCTCTAAGGATGGGAAATCCTCTCATAGCAAAGGGAGCAGCTGAAAGTGTAAAAGGGGGAAATGGTCATCACACTTGATGAATTGGTTTGGGTGATGGTGGGGCAGGAGGGTTGGTAAGAACAAGCTTTGATTATCCACTTACTATGTGTCAGGCACTTTGCTAAGTGCTTTACAGTTATTATCTCATTAGATCTGTGAGAAATGATTATTTCTCTCTTGTATTAATAATTATTTGGTCAGAACCAAGGTTTTTCCCCTTTTTTACTTCCTCATCCAGAAATCAACTAGTGTGGGAAACCTCTCTCAAAGATTTAATCAGATTGTAAAAGAAATTCTATGTTTAGGCTAATGGGTGCATTTCTGTTCATTGTGTTTAATCAGACAGGTCTGAGAAACTGTTAATTCCTCCTTTGGTCAAACAGGAGATATGGAAATTGTTAAGTCTCTTTGACCAAAATTTAAGTGATCCAAGTCACATACTCCAAGAACCTTACGGTAGTATAGCCCGCCCTCTCATTGTAATATTCATTTTCTCTATAATTATTGTGAGAGATGGCCTAAAGTGCAGTTTCCTCAGGCCTAAGCCCTGAGTTGAGTTTCACCTTTCTCAAAAATCCACTTCAGCACAGGTACTTTCTGGTGGCTCCCGCATCCTGGCACATGCATACATCTACTTCCCAAATATGGGCATGTTTGCTTCTATAGGGTATTAGTTTCCGCCTTTAGATTGTACACCTTGAGTACTCAGACAGTGGGGGAAAGAGGTAAGAGAGTGGGAGGGGGCATGTGTTAGGGCTATAAAACTTTGCTTCTCACAGCCAGCTGTGCACTACTTGGCTGTCATTGGAAAGAATAAAGACCTTTTCTGATCTCTGATTCAAACTCCAAACTCTTGATGTCGGTGGTCACTGTCCCACACATTATTAACCAGAGTTAAATGCTGTCTTCAGGAAGACTTACTCTTCCAAGGACATATAAACTGTGAGCCCTCTGTCTTTGGTCCAGGAGAGACAGCCAAATGATCACCCTTTTATTAATAAACATGCTGGCCTCATTAATAAAATGTTTAAATTACCCAGAAACTGTCTCTCAAACTTAAACACTGCAGTTTCACTCTGTAGATGTTTCTAGGTAAAGAATTACTATCTGTCATCTCAAAACAGAGCAGCCTTTCCAGGTGAAGGGAGGTCTCATAATTAGTAGACAGACCACTGGACTTGGAATCAGGAAGACCTACCTTTGAACCTCTCCTCAGACACTCAGAACAGCTGTCTCTTCTTGGTAAGTAACAGGTTAAGTTACTTACCAGAGGTTAACTCTGCCCTCAGTTTTCTTATCTATAAAAAGAAGGGGTTGGCCTTAAAAAACTCACAGGTCCCTTTCAGCCCTAAATCTATGGTCCTGAGATTAAATACAGACAAATTCTTCATCTTTAGCTCTATTTATAAAATTCTGTCATTACAACACTTCCTTCCTCATGGGGGACATTAAATTTCTGCCCATACAGCTCAGCTTGCACTAATTTCATTTTAGGTTGATCTCTTCCCCTTTTGTGTTTCATCCTTGGGTTTCACACACATATTCTTCTGGCAAACCAATGACTCATGTATTTTCTTATCAGAGTAACGCTGTCTCCTCAGTCACCCAGGTTCAAACCTCAGACTTTATGGTGACCTATTCCCTTTTGCTCCTATCTCCCTCTCCCTGCCCCAAAGCAATTAGTTGTTGTAGAGTCATTTCAGTGTCCAACTCTTCATGACCCCGTTTGGGGTTTTCCTGGCAAATATATTAAAGTGTGGCTTTACGCAAATCACTTCATCCTGTTTGCCTCAGTTTTCTCATCTGTAAAATGAGCTAGAGAAGGAAACGGCAAAGCACTCTGGTATCTCTGCCAAGAAAACCCCAAATGGGGTCACAAAGAGTCAGACACAACTGAACAACAACAGAAAAACAAAGGTGTGGCAGTGATGCAGGCCAATAGAGGGGTGGTAGCTGTGTCAGAGGAGAGAAGGGGATATTTGTGAGAAATGTTGTAAA